TTTTACTCCTTGTATATTTTATTATAATAATTTTGTGTGGATTTAACATCTATACTTGTTGCTCAGTTTTGTATGAGATTAGTTTTTCTGAATATTTAGAAGGTTGTGTGGTTTAGGGTATCTTTTCTAACTCTTTTTGTTGTTTTTGTGTAATGTTAAAAAAATACAGTGATTGCTTTTTGAGTTTTCCTGTCTCTTTATTACTACTCGATGTTTATCTGAAACTTCACTTTACTTTCCTTCTTTTTTTTTCCTTTTGTGTTTTTAAGTAGGCTCCACGTCCAGTGTGGAGTCCAGTGCGGGGCTTGAATTCACCACCTTGAGGTCAAGACTGAACCAAGATCAAGAGTCAGACGCTTAACCAACTGAGCTACCCAGGCGCCCTCTTTTCTTCTTTTCTTTTGTGCCTTAGTTACTCAGTTTTGATTCCATTCCCAGCAGTTTCCCCTTAGCGTGTAGGCTTATTCTAGAAGAGAGCCATAGTTGGTCATTTCCAAGAGTTCATAGGAGCTGTTATTTCATTCTCACCATGGACCCCTTTGCTGTTAGATTGGACAGCAACTCTCCTGTCATAAAATTGATCTGCCATGCTTTCTATTGAATACCTACCTACCTTTTAGCTATTTCGGGCTTCTCTTGTTCTCAGGTGTATCATACACCTTGTTGATCCCCTTGCTTTCTTCTGTACTACTGCATGTGAGCACTCAGGTGCTGTGGCTGTTGGTTTGTCCTCATCTGCTTGGAATTTAGGGGAAACAGAACCTTGTCTCCTGGTTTTGTTGTGAATTCGCTGTTGGGTTTTTTTTGCCGCATTAGGTCTCTGTGTTTCCCTTGGGATTCAGAGACATAAGAACACTACCTTCCCAAGATTTTCCCCTAAAAGTTTATTTTAGGGACAACTTTGAAAAATATAAATTCCAGAGAAGAAATTGCAGGGTTAATAAATTTATTAAAGCATCCTATACAGTAATGTAGGAATCTTGTTTTTCCTAAGTTCTTTTAAAAATCATGCCATATTCATAAAGTCTCCAAATTATATAGTTGAATGTTCAAGAAAGACTAGGATTGGGTGATGAATTGTCTTTCAGAATTAGAGCATCATTAGACATCTGAATGCATTATTCTGAAGAATAGGATTTTATTGTCAATGACTGCAGAGCTTTAACCTTGATATTAATAGCTTCCTCTTCCTACTTAGAGATGTAAGCTAAAATATTTTACTTTATGTGTGTATTTACATACTTTATGTATTTTTTAAAAGATTTACTTATTTTAGAGCGAGAGTGCGAGCAGGGAGAGGGGCAGAGGAAAAGAGTGATTCCTTGAGCAGACTCCCCTCTGAGCGCGGAGCCTGACACCACGGGGCTCCATCCTAGGACTATGAGATCATGACCTGAGTTGAAATCAGGAGTTGGAGGCTTAAGTGACTGAGCCACCCAGGCGCCCCAAATATTATACGTGTTTTTAAATGACCGCAGTACAGTCTGTTCTGCTACAGTAAATATGTAATTCCACAAATTCAATTAGCTTATAGACTCTTGATAAATAGGGGAATAGTGTCAGTATAACATGGGTAGTGCATTGCCTTATACATGACTTTTTCCTAAACTAGACAAGGGGATCCTGAATAAAGGGAGTTGAATTTTTTTTTAAGATTTATTTATTTGAGAGAGAGAGAGCAGAGGAGCACAAGCATGGAGGGAAGGGGAGGGGCAGAGGGAGAGAGAGTCTTTTTTTTTTTTTAAGATTTTATTTATTTATTTGACAGACAGAGACACATAAGCAGGGGGAGTGGGAGAGGGAGAAGCAGGCTTCCCGCTGAGCAGGGAGCTCGATGCGGGGCTCAATCCCAGGACCCTGGGATCATGACCTGAGCCGAAGGCAGACGCTTAATGACTGAGCCACCCAGGTGCTCCGAGAGAGTCTTTTAGGCAGACTCCATGCTGAACAGGCTCAGCTTGGTCTCAACGACCCTGAGATCACAATCTGAGCTAAAACCAAGAGTTGGACATTTAACCCACTGTGCCATCTAGGTGCCCCAGGGAGTTGAATTTTGTATTTCATCAGGAAAGTAAAACACTTAAAATTCAGCTGCTACAGAAACAAAAGCACCCCCTCCCAAACACACACACACAGAGGTTTTAATTAGAAGTGGTAATTAGCAGCGGCAGGGAAGGGGGGTTCCCTCCTAGAGAAGTACACTCTAGCAGGGACTTTCTCATGTGGCAGTCTGCATTTCCTTTTGTGTCCATCTTAGCCCTACTGTCTTAAAGCTCCACTTCTCAGTTCCCATAAGCCCTTGTTTCTCTTTCTCTGTTTTTATTACCTTTTATTAAGCCCTGAGGTAGCATTTCAGCTGCTGTTAGCTGCCTCATTGGGGTGTCCAAGTTATCTCTGGAGGTGTCCCAATCATTGTTTTTGTTAGTGCTATGGTTACAGAGTTAACGGGGCATTGACTGATCTGTCTTGTGTACCTCTCTGTACCCTCCTGGACCAATTATTTTTTCCTTAAGCCTTGTTGTTTTTAGTGTTGCAGAATGCAGGATTTTCAGGAATGTAAGTATTTGTGTTAGAGCAGATGTACTAAGAGACTTCTTCAAGAAGTTGCTGGAGCTTAGTGTTGTTGGCTTTGTGGCATTATTTCTGTTCTTGAAGGACTTTATAAGAGAGTTCTGTTTTCTGGCAATGGAGATCAGTGTTTGGAATATGAGGCTTACTAGTCATTTTAAAATGCAGGGGAATGATAAATAGTAACTGTTTGAAGAATTTTGTTGTGGATCACTGAAGCGTTCTTTTGTGCTGTAATGACATTGTTCTAACAGAGATATCTAAAATTAGAGAAACTACTGAGTAAAAGTAAAATTCTGTATGGTATGATATGGAATGATGTATTTTGATATTATCTTTGTTTTGTTTTGCTCCAAGTAGGGAATTATTGTTTAGGAAAGTTTAGCTTTTTAATAATCTTTAATATCTTTTTTTTTCCTTCCAAGATTTTATTTAAATCCAAGTTAGTTAACATGTAGTGTAGTATTGGTTTCAGGAGTAGAATTGATCCAAATAGGGAATTGTAATTGTGGCCATTTAGAATACCAAGGTTTGTTTTAGAAATAATAAAATGATATTCAACCTTTAGAAAATGTACAGCAGCATCTTATTTGCTCTGGTATAAAAGCATTGGATACAAATATTCAGTACAAATAAAGGAGTTATTCCTGTTGAATAAGAATAGTGATTATACATACAAATTATATTTAATATAGATTTAAAAATCTAATCCTTACCAAAAGATACTAAGTAGTCTCATTAAAACAGCAAGGAATTGGGGCACTGGGCTTCCTCAGTTGGTAGAGCATGCGATTCTTCATCTCGGGGTTGTGAGTTAGGGTCCCACATTGGGTGTAAAGATTACTAAAAAACAAACAAGAAAACCAAGGAATTATATGCCAGTATTACAGTAATGTAAGAAAACCATTCATGTAGTAGATGACTCTAGAAAAATTTTACAAATGAGAAAAATAGATGTACAAATGAAAAATCAGTATACTCCGAGAGTATACTTGGCGTATAGTCTTTTAGTCAATACTGCAAAAACAGTATAAACTGCTGATGTGGATTTGCCCCATATAAAAGGAAATGAATAGAGAGCTTTATTAGGGAGTAGACTCCTTGGTGTTAATTTGGGCATTTAAAGAATTGAGGTTGGCATTGGGGTGTGGCATTAGCAGGCCCTGTTATTTTTGGTAATATGTGATATGCCAGCAAATTCCAGTGGGGTTCTGTCTCTTACTCGGAGTGCTCAAGGAAACAACCACTGTTTTTCAGACAAGTCTTTAAGAATATGGGAAAATTGCTGAAAACTCAGAGAATATTGTACAATTGAGTATTTCAGTAGCACCTTTTATTTTTTTAAATTCTTTTTAAAAAACATTTATTTATTTGAGGGAGAGAGAGAGCACAAGACGGGGGAGGGCCAGAGGGAGAAGCAGACTCCCCACTGAGCAGGGAGCCCGATGTGGGACATGATCCTGGGACTCCAGGATCATGACCTGAGCCAAAGGCAGATGCTTAACCGACTGAGCCACCCAGGCGCCCAGCACAGACAGTTTAATGGACCCTGGGGAAAGGATCTGAATTGTGAGGATGCTGTAGTTATATTTGTGTATTATAAGTGCATTAATAATAAACCTCTTACAACATTGTCAAATTTTTCCTTTGTTTTTAAGCACTGTTGGATATTATGTAATTCTATTTTGTTTCTCCTGGATGTGAAAAACGGAAAATATATTACACATATTGTATCTGTTTTTAAAAATTGAGGTATAATTGATATACAGCATTGTATTAGTTTTAGTGTAAAATATGATTTGATATTTATATATACGTGTTGTAAAATGATCATCACAATAAGCCTAGCTAACATCCATTACCATGGTTAGAACTTTTTTTTGTGATGAGAAGTTTTAAAATCTACTCTCTTAGCAACTTTCAGATATGAAGTACTGTATTAACTGTAGTTGCCATGTTGTGCATTACATTTCCATGACTTACTTATTTTAGAACTAAAATTTGTACCTTTTGACTCCCTTCACCCATTTTGCCAGCCCCCATCCCCCACCTCTGGCAACCACCAGTCTGTTCTCTGTGTCTATGAGCAGAGTCTTTTTTTCATTTGTTATTTAGATTCCACATAAAAGTGAGGTCATACAGTATTTTAACTATCTTCACTTAGCACATCCATGTTGTCCGTCCATGTTGTCACAAGTGGCAAGATTTCATTCTTTTTAATGGCTGAATAATACTTCAGTGTGTGTTTGTGTGTGTGTGTGTATCCCCCATACAGTCTATCCATTCATCAACAGATGAACACTTAAGTTGTGTCTGTTGGCTATTGTAAATAATGCTGCAGTGAACATGGGGGTACATATCATATTTTGTAAGTGTAATCTATAAGGCAGAATGCCTATGCTCAATGCATGTTTTTTTCCTCATATCTTAAGGAAGAGAGAGAAAATCCTTCGAAACGGAGTAGGATTGAACGTGATATAGATAATAATTTGATCACATCAACACCAAGAGCAGGAGAAAAGCCTAACAAACAGTTATCTCGAGTAAGACGGAAAAGTCAAGTAAATGGAGGTTTGTTAATATTTAGATATTGTTCTATTAGGTGTAAGCAGAGATCTCACCTGTCATGTTTATTTTCTGTTTTTAAAAACTGACTCTGCAGTTTTTTCCCTTATTTTTGTAATATTCTTTGTATTAAGTATTAGTAGCATGAAATAAAAATTTATCTAATACTGATCTACTTTGCTGAGTTAAAATAAGTAAAGGCAGAGCAACTAGCTTTATACTGTTTATCGTAAAAATGTATATGGAACATTTTCAACCTCTAATAAACTCTGTTCTTAAAGCAGTAATAACTGTGGCTTAATTTATTGAAATATGTACAAAGAATTTGTTTCTGGATCATGGAATTTCAGAGCTCAGAGAGGGCTTGTATCACTTGGGACAGTGGTTCTTAACTAGGGGTGGTTTTGTCCCCAGGGGACATTTGTTAATATTTGGAGACCCTTTTGGTTGTCACAACCTGTTGGGGGGTTACTACTCATATCTAACAGGTAGAGGTTAGGGATGCTGCTAGACATCCTACAATGTACAGGACATCCTCCTTCAATAAAGAATTATCCAGCCCAAAAATCAATAGTGCTGCTGTTGATAAACCTTGTTCTAGGTCAATATGTTAAAATATTGCTGGGAAGCTCCTCAAAGTCAAAAAGAAAATCAAGAAGGACAAGCAGAGAAAGCTATAAAAACCAACACTTTAGAGCATGGATTACTTCATTTAACCATTGCTGTTTTAATAAAACACAACAGCAAGAATAATTTCTTACCTCTTTCCCCCCAACTCAGTGTTGTATCTCTGTTGTTAGAATTGACTATTAGGGAAAAAGAAACAAAAGACCTATCGCAAAGAAGGAAAGAATGTGGTAGATATCAAGTAAAGTTGTGGAAGGTCAAGAATGATTAATCAAAACACATTTGTTTGAATTTGTTTTTACTGTATCATTTCCAAAAACCCATGAAAATTTTTTTATTCATAAGAAACTAAAAAAACAAAAGACAAACCTGTTTGTTCTTCTTAATCACTCTGAAATGATGCCTGAGTATACATAAGTAATTGACACTGCTATACACAGTCTTCTGCTTCAGTAGATCTATGTTGCCTCTATTTATTTAGCTGTTATTCATTACTAATAGATTGGTTTTGTGAAGTAGGCAGCCTCCCAAAATGTAAATAAGGGCAGGATCTTGCATTTATGTTTTTGATGTTGTAATTTGCTTTACTTACAAAGAGTTTATTTCATTTTCTGTTACACTGGATTTTGAAGCCTTTCAGTCTATATACTTCTAGATGTAAACATAAAATCATTTGATTTACAATTTATTTACCTCAGGATATTTTTAAGTAATCAGTTTTTTTAACAGTAAATGTTAATCAGTTTTTATGAAGTATTTTGAGGCAAAAAATTATTTTCATAATGAATTGTTTAAAACATTTCTTAAAGTCATGTTTTCTAGATTGCAACTTTTTTCTTGTTTCTTTCTTAGAAGCTGGTAGTTATGAAATGACAAATCAACATGTAAAACAAAATGGAAAATTAGAAGATAATCCTTCCTCTGGCAGTCCTCCAAGGACTACATTGTTGGGGACCATATTTTCTCCTGTCTTCAACTTTTTTTCACCAGCAAATAAAAATGGTAAGTATAAACTATTACCCATAATTTGGGTTTAAAAAATTAATAGTTTCCCTAGTTTTTTAAAAGATCTGTTTGATTTTACTGGCATATTTTGTCAGCATCTTATGTTTGTTTTCAGCCTCATTAAAAACACAGCTCCTGAAGAAAAAGAAAAAGAAAAAAAAATACACAGCTCCTAAAAGTTTGTGGTTTTTGTGTTTTGTTTTTTGGGTTTTTTTTGTTTTTAGTGGCTGAAATAAATTTAGGTCATGTTTAATTCTGTTGAAGTACATGAACTCCACTTTCACTATCTGAAAAGCTAAATGATAAACTTTGGGCTGGAGGGAAAGTAATTTCTTTTATGTTGGAATGACTTCTGTAATCCTTAGTGTGTACAGGAGAGAATCCAGAAATATTTTCAGTATTCTAGATCAATAAAGTAGAATTTTTAAAATATTTTAAGTGAGCTGAAACTAGGTCATTTTTTGTAACACATTTTTATCATTTGTTTTTTAAAGATTTTATTTATTTATTTGACAGAGAGAGAGTGAGAGCAGGAACACAAGTAGGGGGAGTGGGAGAGGGAGAAGCAGACTCCTGCCGAGCAGGGAGCCCGATGTAGGGCTTGATCCCAGGACCCTGGGATCATGACCTGAGCCGAAGGCAGACGCTTAACGACTGAGCCACCCAGGCACCCCCATTTTTATCATTTGTAACACATTTTATTTATCATTCATCATTTATCATCAAAGACCCCCTAGGGATCTTTAATTTGGATAATTAGTAACTACTCTAATGCAAATGAATTGAAGGTTTTCATTATATAATGCCTTTGCAAAAGAATCAAACTTGGATTGTTTCCCAAAAATTTTTTTTTAAAGATTTTATTTATTTATTTGGCAGAGAGAGAGAGAGAGTGAGAGCCAGAACACAAGCAGGGGGAGTGGGAGAGGGAGAAAGTAGGCTTCCTGCCGAGCAGGGAGCCCGATGTGGGACTTGATCCCAGGACCCTGGGATCATGACCTGAGCCCAAGGCAGACGCTTAATGATTGAGCCACCCAGGCGCCTCCAACACTTTTTTTTAAAGATTTTGAGAGAGCGCTCGCACCCTAGGAGAGGGAGAGAAAGAGAATCCCAAGCAGACTCCGTGCTGAGTATGAAACCCAATGTGGGGCTCAACCCTATAACCCTGAGATCATGACCCAAGCCTAAACCAAGAGGTGGATGCCCAGTGGACTGAGCTACCCAGGTGTCCTGCCCAACATACATTTTTTTTAAAGATTTAGCTAGTGTTGGGGTGCCTCAGTGGCTCAGTCATTAAGCGTCTGCCTTCGGCTCAGGTCATGGTTCCAGGGTCCTGGGATCGAGCCCCGCGTTGGGCTCTCTGCTCCGCGGGAAGCCTGCTTCTCCCTCTCCCACTCCCCCTGCTTGTGTTTCCTCTCTTGCTGTGTCTCTCTCTCTCTGTCAAATAAATAAATAAAATCTTAAAAAAAAAAATTTAGCTAGTGTCCTGTCTTTTTTGATGATTAATTCTTAATTTCATAAATGATAATTTAGTCTCTAGATTATGTGAGGGCAAGAGTTCATGTCTTTATTTTTGCATCAACCATGTTGTTTGATATAGTACAGGGCACATGGAAAATAGCCATTAAATGCTTGTTGCCTGATTATTTAAATTCTAGTTTGAATTATGTTTCTGGATGATAATACAATTTTTAAAAGACAGAATGGTGCACTATAAAATCTAAGTGCTCTGGGGGCTAAAAATAATGCATATTGGCACATGAAAGGACTTGTGAAGTCCTGTAGTAGAAATAAAACAACAAACTACCTTTAACTTTGTTTAACCCCGTATTTCCTAGGCATATTTGACCCCAAGAACCCTTTTCTGTGGAACATCTATGAACATCTTGTAAAACTAGTGCCCCTTAGAACATCTTTGGAAATAGCTGGTGTGGTGGAAAAAGAATGGGCATTGGAATTAGAGAAACTTATTTTAAAATTGCCACTCTTTAACTATGTTACCTTGGTCCAGTTCTTTAAATTGAGCCTCTTAACCTGTGAGAGAAGATAATTATACTTAAGTATGGGACAGGGGTGATTTGAAGATTTCAATTCATTCAGTTCAATATTTGCCATGTCCCAGCCATTGTACTAGGCCCTGGAGATTCAAGGATGATTAACACATGGTCCCTGCCCTCAAGGAGCTTGCTTTTTTACAAGAGGGAGAGAGATCCATAAATAGGTATAATAAATTTTTATAAGTGCATTGATAAGAGGTATGGGGCAGTGGGGTGTTCAAAGAATGGAATGGTTCTGTATTCTTGGTGGCATCTAACAATAGTCTTTATAGAAAAGCTGAATCTTGAAAGGTGGTAAAGGGCATTTCAGGTAGAATGAGCAGCACGAGCAAAGGCATTGTGTGTTTGAGAAACAAATTAGTTTATTACAGATGGAGCACTGGATGTGAGGAGCGCATAGGATGGGTTAAGATAGAGTTATAAAGTTGGCAAATTAAGGCTAACATGGTAAGATAATTGAATTTTAATTTTATTCTTAGTGGAGGATGATTGAAAGGTTTTGAATTGGTGAGTAGTATGAACAGATTTGTGTTTTCTAAAAAGCTCTTTGGCAGTAGTGTGTTGGCTACATTCTAAGAAGGTTGGATGTGGGGAAAACAATTAGACTTATAGTCCATGTGAGATTTCATGCAACCTTAATGGTGACACTAGAGAAAAGAAGGGTCAGAGGTATAGAATGGAGATGAAAGATTGGAGATGAAAGAGACAAGAGATTAAGAGGACACAAGGTTATTTTTTCAAGAGCAAGAAGTTATGTTTCGGGAGATAGATAATTGAATTTAATTTGGGCCATGCTGAGTTTGAGATGCCATGAAACAACCAAATAAAATGTCTGGTAGCCATTTGTCCTTCTGGTGTGGTGTGGAGCTTAGAAATATGGGTTTAAGCAAGTCTATTGTATTATCAGCTTATAGGTATTAGTTAAAACTAGTGGAGTAAATGGTGTATATGGTTCAGTGACCTAAGATCTTGGGGGAATAAATGTTTGGACAGAAGTTGATGTTTCATAGTTACAACTTTTTCTTTGAGGGAGGTGATGGTGCCATGTGCTGAGATTCCTGGTGGCAGGAATTGAAGAGAACAGTGAAGGTTTAGAATGTTTGCTTTTGGGTATAATTTAAAAGAAACACACACACACCAGTAAGCCTGTAAGTTACATTGATTCAAGAGGGATTTCTGTGATGGATGACAGTGGAAAGACAAGGGAACAAGGACCCTGAAGCTGCTGGCTTGAGAGTGGTTTAAGTGATATACTATGAAATCTAGGTGAGAAGGGTGGGGAAGGAGCCGTTGAGGGATTGTTTAGAATGAAAGAGACTGACTTTTATCAAACATGAAGATCACATGTAATAGGAATATGAGATAGATAGATAATTAAAAGATTAGGAGGTTATGGTAGGGGATTGATATATTTGAACTTTAGTTTTCAGAGATAAACCTTTTCTTAGTGTGAATGTCCAGGTTATGATCATGATAGTTGCTTAAGAAAGCAGTATGAATGAAGAAGGAGCTAAAGAGGGCAAAACCTTTGAGGATTAGTCTTAGGATGAGTCATTGACCTCACCTGTAGGAGGTGTTTAATAGACCTTTAAATTGGCAGCTAGGTGTTAAATTCCTCTGGTTGAGAGAGGATGCTGGCAGCAGTTGGTAGATGTCAGCGGTGGGGATAAGTGAAGAATTATATAGCTAGGTGACATCAGTCTCAAAGGAACAGGCATTTTTTTGCAAATTCAGTGGAAAACCATTGATCTGGTAGCAGCAATGGAGATAAATGAATTCTGATACAGTTAGTATGTTGAATGTGGAAGAATAAAGAGCTTTGTGGGAAATGTCAGGAAAAGATGTTTTTTGGAAAGGGGTTAGTTACATTTAAAGCTATGACAGAGAAGGAACATTCTGTGAGAAAGTTGAGAGTATGGGAGGTTGATTTTGTTGTTGAAAATGACATTTGGAGGATTCCATAAAGAAATAGAGTTGGGTTTATCTCATAGTGGAAGAAGAATTGGGCAACAGGGTCATCTAGGTGGTGGCTGAGTATGATTAGGAAACTAACTTCAGTCTTTGTTACTGAGGTGGAATCTTGTTAGGAAATTGTTCTTGTGTCTCTGAATAAAAATGTTATGATAGGGGAACAGTTAGCTCATTCTTGCATAACTACCTCTGGTTTAAAAATTACAACTGCCTACAGTGGCTAGGATGCTTAGTACTGGAAGGATCAGGAGCTGTTCAATGGAAATAAATAATGGAAATGATAATGGAAAAAATATATATATAATGCCTAGCTCATAGTAGGCATTTAATAAATGATATTTGCTTTATAGAAAAGTTCTATAGTCAACAATACTGTATTGTATACTTCAAAGTTGCAAAGAGACTAGATAGATTTTCTCACCACAGAAAAATGGTAATGATGTGGCAGGATAGAGGTGTTAGCCTAATGCTAGGTTGGTAATCATAATGCAATATATAAATGTATTAAATCAACACATACACCTGAAACTTATACAAGGTTATATTGTCAGTTATGTATCAAAATTTATAAAAATTCTAAATTATGACTGTGGTTTCACTATAAATAGGTGTTTCTAAACTATTTGAACACTCTTAAGAAAATTTTGTTCACCAATATCACTCTAGCTTATAATAGTCTTTATTACTGATTATTTGAAATGTCTAGAAAAGACTCACTAAACTGGTATCCTCAGCTCTGTTTCTGTTGCATTTAGTTTTTCCAAGTATTTATGAGTTTTTCATTATTTAATTTCACTTTTATTAAAATATATTTCACAAGGGCGCCTGGGTGGCTCAGTCGTTAAGCATCTGCCTTCGGCTCAGGTCATGATCCTGGGGTCCTGGGATCAAGCCCCGCATCGGGCTTCCTGCTCAGCGGGGAGCCTGCTTCTCCCTCTCCCACTCCCCCTGCTTGTGTTCCCTCTCTTGCTGTCTCTCTCTCTGTCAAATAAATGAATAAAATCTTAAAAAAAATAAAATAAAATATATTTCACATACATTATGTAAATTTAAGGGTAAACAAGTTGATTTGATACATTTATATATTGTAATATGATTGCCATGTAACAGTAATTAGCACCTCTATCACATTACATAATTATCTTTTCATTTTAGTGGTTAGAACAATTAAGTTCTATTCTTTTAGCAAGTTTGATGATTATAATACAATATTTGTCTATATTCACTCTACGGCGCATTAGGTCTCTAGGGCTTATGTTTGCTTGCTATAAGTTTGTACCCTTAAAAACATCTATGCCTCTTCCCCCACCCCCTTTTGAGTTTTTAAATGATGGTTGTGAGCATACTGAATCTTGATTATAGGAACATCAGGATCCGATTCCCCAGGACAGGCTGTGGAAGCTGAAGAGATAGTAAAACAACTTGATATGGAACAGGTGGATGAGATCACTACCAGTACTACTACGTCAACGAATGGAGCAGCTTACTCAAATCAAGCAGTTCAAGTGAGGCCATCGATAAATAATGGTTTAGAAGAAGCAGAAGAAACAGTTAATCGTGATATCCCACCCCTTACAGGTGAAGAAAATTCCTTTTCTTAATGCATCTTCATGAATAATGTATAAAAATGCAGGATTTCTTTTTTTCTTTAATAGAGCAAATGCGTAAGTTTTTCTTTCTTGAACATAAAACAATTAAAATTGGAAATAAAACTTTCTCCCCCAAATCTGGTCATTTTGAAATTGAATTTTTTAAAAGGCTGTTTTGACAGAGCATTAGTCATCTTACAGTTTATTTGTACTAATCTGACTACTTAGAAATTTAACACAAATAGGGGCGCCTGGGTGGCTCAGTTGGTTAAGCGACTGCCTTCGGCTCAGGTCATGATCCTGGAGTCCCAGGATCCAGTCCCGCATCGGGCTCCCTGCTCATCAGGGAGTCTGCTTCTCCCTCTGACCCTCCTCCCTCTCATGCTGTCTCTCTATCATTCTCTCTCTCTCTCAATAAATAAAAATCTTTAAAAAAAAAAAAAGAAATTTAACACAAATAGCAAAACATATGCTCATGTTCATGAACACACTTATTATAATTGCACTAGTATCAGACCCTTCGGTCTGAAGTTCCCACCTAAAGGCAGCCTTATACCTTCAGATTTGTTGCATATATAGATGACATCCCCCCAAAAGAAGCTTCTTTTCCCTGATCTTTCCCTGGATCCAAACTTTGCAGCCTAATTCTGGATCCTTATAAAGGCCTACCATAATTGTTGGGTCCCTGAGCCAGTTGTCATGGAAATGTAGAACATATGAGATCAGAATTTATTACCTCTGAGGGTTGTGGTATACAGATGTATAAAGCTAAAAGATGAAACTGTTCCATCATGCTTAAAAGCAGAAATAAAATTGAGGATGGTCATCTTTTCCCAGAGGGACAAGATCTTGGGCTTTTATTTTAGATTTGTCTTTTTATTTCCTATAATGCCATGCATTTGAGAGACCCTAGCACATATGTATTGGTTCAGAAACGTAGTTTGGCATAAGGAAGTAGAATGATGTTCTTCCCTTGAATATAAGGGGAAACTTGAAAAAATATAATCAAAACGGCAGAAAACATTTAAAGAAAAAATCCTACAATTATGAAACTTCTATATAGGGCAACCCAGTAATACCAATATGAAGAGAAAAAGCGACATAACAAAGATTTATTTTAAATTGGTCAAATAAAAGATTAACTTCTGTAGTGTTAAACTTAAGATCTATAATGTTAAATTATAATGTTATATTTTTTTAAAGATTTTACTTATTTATTTGATAGAACACAAGCAGGGGTAGTAGCTGGCAGAGGGAGAAGCAGACTCCTTACTGAGCAGGGAACCCAATGCGGGACTCAATCCCAGGACCCTGGGATCATGACCTGAGCTGAAGGCAGACGCTTAACCGACTGAGCCACGCAGGCGCCCTATAATGTTATATTTTAAGAATAATACTGAATCTGTCAAATCAACTTGGATTATGTACATAGTTCATTCTTGGGCAGATAAGATTTGCAAAGGAATCTACTCTTCACCTGTCATTTTATGCTCATTCCTTGCCAGTGTTTGGGCGTATAGACTAAGTCCAGGGCTTTGGACCTCTTGTTTGATGTTTGTTCTGTATTTTTGTGCTGCTGTATAATCCTCTGTATTTATTTTTTTTCTGACAACTGTGAAGATGGAGAAGGGATTTCTATAGCATTAGTGGTTTCTGGGGGGTGGGGAGTAAAATTTACTCCAGTTGTCTCATTCATTCATTTATTTCCTTAACTTTTATTGAACACCTATTTTCTGTGATGGACGTTATTTATAAAGATGAATAAGATAAATGCTCCTTGACCCTGAAGAGTACATTATCTAATTGATGAGCCAGGTAATCACAAAAATTACTGTACAGTGTGGTGAGTGCTATTAGAAATAAATGTGCAGAATGATGAGGTGGCACATTGCATTCACTCTGGATCATGAGAGGATAGAAGTAAAATTTTTGCTGATCTTAAAAGATGAGTATGAGTGACAAAGGTTATTACTTTTCCTTAACTTCAAGAACCTAGCCAAAGAGAACAAGAAGGAAGGAGGATGGCTCTGTCATTTACTTAGCTTTGTGACTTTAGACAGCTTACTTAAGCTCTGAGATGACTCTCTGACCTTTAAAAGGGAAATAATTCAGGGTTATGAAAGCTAAATGGGATGAAATAAGAAAAATGCTTAGCATGAAGGCACTCACATACTGCTTCCTTTCCCCCTTTCTCTGAAGTTAAGAGGAATTTGAAACAAGTAGTTAGAAGATATATTTTTCCATTACCCCTTGTGCTAATGAACTGTTATTGGCATGAAATTACAGATGGACAAAAATTATGTTTTACCTCTGTTGTCATTCACTTAATATACATACTGTGTTACAAGGTAATACATACATAAAGAATTATTACATGATAGGGGCGCCTGGGTGGCTTAGTCGGTTAAGTGTCCGACTCTTGGTTTAGGCTCAGGTCATGATCTCAGGGTCATGAGATGGAGCCCCATGTCAGGCTCTACGCTCATTGCAGAGTCTGCTTGAGATTCTCTTCCTTTTCTTCTCCCTCCCTCTTTGCCTCTTTCCCCACTCATGCATGCACTCAGTCTCTGTCTCTCTAAAATAAATAAAATCATTTTAAAAAGAATTAATACATGGTAATAGCAAGAAATATTTGTTTTTTTTCCTTTGACTATTATCCACCAATATTCCATTCCTGTAGACAGATTATAGCAGTTTTAGTGAGTTCCACTGTCTTAGTCCTTTTGGGCTGCAATAACAAATTACCACAGACTAGGTGGCATATACACAGCAGAAATTTATTTCTCATGGTTTAGGAGGTTGGGAAATCCAAGATCAAAGCACCAAGCAGATTCATTACCTGGTGAGAGCCTGCTTTCTGGTTCATAAACAATTATTTTCTCATGCACCCTTACATGGCAGAAGCTATGTGAACTGTCTGGAGGCTCTTTTATAAGGGCACTAATCCCATTCATGAGGGCTCCACCCTCATGACCTAATGACCTCATGACATCCTAAAGTCTCCAACTCTAAATACCATTTTGTGGCGACACAAACATTCAGTCTCTGGCATCCATCTTGAACTTTTAGCTCTGAGACATTACCTCTAACTTAGAATTTTACCTTTTGTCCTTTCCTTGAATTTAAGTTATAATTATTGTCTTAGAAAATTCCCAGCATAATTTTTTTTTTTTAAGTTTTTTGTTTATTTAAGTAATCTCTGCACCCAACATGGGGCTTGAACTCCTGACCCTGAGATCCAGTCACATGCTCTTCCGACTAAGCCAGCCAGGCTCCCCTCCCAGCATTATTTCTAATGCTCTATCATTTGATAGAATTTTAGCTTAAATGTAGGATGGACCATTTGTCATGGAATAGAGAATTACTTCATGATTATTTTTAGGTTGCTTGTAAATTAGAAGTAAAATAAGGCCTCTTCTAAAGCAATGGTTTCTATATAAAGCAGCATTTTTTAACTTTTTAAAAGATTTTAGACAGCCTCGAGATTCCTGTAAAAATGTACATACAGCATTTTTTCATAAGTCTTCAGGGGGTTTCATGAACCTCTTAAAGAGTGTTCGTAGATCTCAGGTTAAAAACTACCTCTCGGTCTAAGGTCAGCACAGATATATATTGACTGCTTGTATATGTATGTACAAGGTACTTTGCAAACCGTGAAATTTTTATGTTTATACATATAACACCATGCAGTTAGAAATTGAAATTTCATGGAGTGTATGATTCTGGTAATAAGTAGTAAATTTTCTCTTTGCTGTGAGGGATTTTAATTCTGCCAGCCATGATCTAGCTTGCTATTTTATCTATAATGGCAGTTTTTTTCCTTTGGATCTGGAGTTAGATCTGTGTATTAATAAATTTGCTATGCAATACTGTTTGTAAGTTATTTCTGTCATTTCTTGAACCTAAAATACACAGGGCTTCAGGAAAATCTTATATAAAAACGGTAAAAATGTATACTTCATAGTGAGTAAAAGTAACATTTTGTTTTTCATTTTATTAAATAGCACCAGTAACTCCAGATAGTGGTTATTCATCAACTCACGCAGAGGCTACCTATGAAGAAGACTGGGAAGTATTTGACCCGTGAGTTTTTTGTTTTTTTGTTTTCCTTTCCCTCTTGGAGCAGAATGAAAGACATGTGTGGAGGGGTGGCTGAATGGTATATTGGAAAGAACATGTAACTTGTAGGTTACTGAAATATTTTATATTTTCAGTTTTATTTACATTTCATAGGTTTGGTTTACTAGATTAAAAGTGTATTATTTAATTAAAGATTTAAATATGAGCTGAATTTAGTAATATGTCATATTTATAAAATGTAGAAATGTTGAGATTTTCTTAAAATTTGATTTGTAGGTATTATTTCATCAAACATGTTCCACCACTGACAGAAGAACAACTAAATAGGAAACCTGCTCTTCCATTGAAAACAAGAAGCACACCAGAATTCTCCCTAGTTTTAGACCTGGTAAGTATATTGTATGTACAGGTAGAGAAAATAAAGGAGTTAAATTTCTTTTTTAAAAACTCTAGCCCAAAATACCTGAGAGGATAAAAGTGAACGTAAAAAGTCTTACACATTTACTAAACATATCTTAGATGTTCTGAAATGTTTTTATTTGAAGCATAGTCCAATGCCAAGGTCCTCAGTTTGATTGGTATCAGGTACTCTTTGAAAATAAATTAGGCTTTCATTTTTGTATTTAAATTAGTTCTTTCCCCCATATTTCTGAGATCCTTGCAATTTTTTTTTTTAATTTCCTGATAAATTCTATTTCATTTCATGCTTAGATTTTGCCTTTTGGGGGGGTGGTGTCAGGATTATATTTCCTTGAAGAACCAAATATTATTTGGGTCCCAATGAATTAACCTTATGCAAGATTATAGCCCTTTTTCTCTTCTTATTTTTGTGCAGTATCTAATACCAATAACTTTATTAATAGACTCCCAAAAACATGATCTCTTAATGCTAATAAAACCTTTAATATGCTCTCTTGATGTGTTAAAAATTTATGTTTTAGGGTACCAGAAGTGCTTTGAGAACTGAACACCTACCTATTATATAATATTGGGAAGCATTTTATTATTTAGCCTTTGTTACTCATATCCTATAATTGGAAATGTGGTTTATTTCTCATAAAATTTTTTTCTTGAGGAAAAGTTTATTATTTTAAATCTTAACTAGCATGTATAGTTCTTTTTTGAGAGTTCAGCACCTTAGCCTTTGTCTAGCCAGAGAGATGTAAGAGAGGTCTCCAGAGGTCCTAAGTATTAGGTATTTATTAGAGGATAAGTAGCAAGAGAAAAATTTTGAAACTGATCATGAGTAGTGTAGATTTGATGTGCAAGTTAGTGGAGAAACTGAAAAAGAGATTTTGCTAGATTTTTGTGTTAGGAGTTGATGTGGTCATAATAGCAAGCTTGACCATACAATTTTTAATGCAATGTGGAGGCAAACAGAAAAGATAGGATTTGGCTGAGCATAAACGAGTAATTTTATAGAAATAAATGAAGAATGATCAAAATTTAGATAGTCTATAGATGAAGAAGTAGCAGAATTAGTTATGATTCAGTTGAAGGAAAGAGGGTACCTTTTTTTAGATGCTAAGACAATACCTTGAAATGTGTAGACTGATATGCTATTAAAAGAAAATGAGGCATATCTAGAGTATTTTTTGCTCTTTGCCTCCCCAGAGTTAACTTTAGGTTAAAAGAAACACTCCAGCTAATAAGATGTGGAATCACAAGGTATGAACATTTGTGTTTCATTTTAATTCATTGTAAATGCATTGGAAAATTTTGGGGTTAGTCATTGGCAGCTTTTTTTTTTAAAAAGTGTTTTATCACTTACTACAAATAGAACTGTTTTTTAATCATTCAGTATTTAAGAAATATAAATATTTGCACATATCTTAGATGGAATGATCCTCACCTTCTTATCCTCTTAAAAAACAGGGTTTGGTAATCAAAAATGACAAGTCTTCATTGACTGCTAATTTAGTTAAATGTTTTTGTCTGAAACATATTCAACAGATACTAAGGCATCCATTTTACAAAATAAAAAACTTCATAAAACTTTAAAGGATAAGGAGCTATGTGAATAGAATATATGTATTCTTAAAAATAATTAGATTCTAAACTTCCATTTGCTAATTGTTAAATAAAAGGAGCTTATATTTATTTTATCAGAAAGTTGGCAACTGCAGAACTCAGAACACTGGTTCTCAGACTTGAGCATGCATCGGGATCACCTAAAGGGCTTATTAAAATATAGATTGCTGAGCTCCTTTTTTCTTCATCCCCTTTGGAGTTTTTGAATTATCACAAGTGGAGCTGGAGGATTCACATTTCTAACTAGTTAAAATTTTGCATTTCTAACTAGTTATTTATTTGCATTTCTAACCCAGATGATGCTGATGCTACTTGTTGGTCCAGGAACCATACCTGAGAACCAGTGGCTTAGAAAATTCTATTCCACATTGCCATGCCACACAGAAGAATGTATGATAAATGTAAAATTCCACATATGAATGAGTGTTTTCATAAATGTTTCTGGTGGTCATGGGTACATAAAATTATCATTTGAAATTTCTTTTAATATCTTGGTTCATTCGGTGTGTGCTTTTTATTTTAAGGATGAAACACTAGTACACTGTAGTCTAAATGAGCTAGAAGATGCAGCACTTACTTTTCCAGTCCTTTTCCAAGATGTCATTTATCAGGTAATTAAAAACAATTTTTAACTTGATTTTTAGCCTGTTAGATAATGTCCTGAACCAAGAAATCTTTTGTAATTTTATTTGTGTGTGTAAAGTTTAATGTGTTTTTTCCTAATGGATTTCATCAATATATTACTGATTTATTAACCCAAAGTAGCATCATGCTAAATAATTACATAAAACATTAAATGTTACCCAAAAATGTCAACTTTTTTAACCCAGTGATCTCTGCTAGTTTCATAATCTGTTTGCCAGCAGGTGGAGGCAGGAGCACTGACATTATAGATCCCCAAGAAGAACTTGCCAGGTTAACACCTGGTGTTTTGCTTTTTGTGTTTTTTTTTCCCCCAAAAATCCAGTTAGTATAAAGAAAACTCATTCCTTGTTGGTCATTTTTATTTCCTTTTGTAGTAATATGGCCTGTAGATTGCAGTTTGGTATATCTACTTTATATTAATCACAGAATTCCAGGACACTTCCGCTTATTGCTTTAAAAATCTGGGTAAAAGCATTTCTCCCTCATCTGTGTTGATGGACAAGTAACCATGCAAAATGCAAAGATCATTTACCTTTCACTGTAAATTATGTGTGTTGGCCATAGTTTTTTCTTTATGTTTGAGATTTTCCTATCATAAAATTTCAATTAATTTATATGAATACACTTTGAAAATTGCAAAGTGCCTTTCTGTGTTGGTGGTGGTTACTTAATTAGCATTACCTTCATACATAGCAGTTGTTGAAGGGTTGGGAAAGGGTCAAATATTTGTTCTTTGTCAAGAGGAAGCCAACTCAAGGATTAAATAAAGCCACAGAACATTTACTGTGTGAATGATGGAAAGGTGTTCATGGTTGTTTGTGCTCTTAATAAGCAGTTAGAATATGGTATAGTTTTCTTGGCACATGATAGTTACTGTCTTTTGGGGATTGAAAAATTTCAGAGTTAAATAGAAGTTTGTGGTTCAGGATGTGCTTTACCTACTTTATGAGTCGTAAGAGAATTTATTTTAGCAATTCTTGTTAGTTCTGGTTTAACCTAGATAGGCATTGTAGGCATGCTAATATTTGAATACTATATTCATTTCCCTTCTATGGAGGCTTATTTTAGTTCTGGCTTTTGATTAGAGAATGAGCAAAATATACATAAAAATAAAGGATTGTAAGATTTTTGTATTTCTTTTTAACTGGATATTATTTGGCTTAAGGTAATCTCTTTTCTTAATAAGACCTTTTTTGCCAAATGGGTTCTTTTTTAGTTCACATCAAGGACAGGAGGCTTGTGGCAAATATAAATAGTATAGCAATATCTTAGTTCTCTCTTTTTAGCTTGATAACCTTGGTTTTTGTTCAAAATTGCATTCAGGCTTTGAATTTGGAAAGTTGTTATTTGAAAAATATTAAATAATTATTTTGGAATGACTTTTCTTAAGCTTTCAGATTTGAAATTTGTTTCTTGCAGATAGTTTTGGTTTGTTTATGTGATTTTTAATAGTTAAGAAACTTGGAAAGTAGTTGAGTTTGATTCTTCCCTTTCATGAGCATTTCTTTTTATTGTGACCATAAAATTGAATTTTTTCTTGCTGCTTCCACCATTTCTGCCTTAATTCTCTTCTTTCTTTTTTTTTTTTGTAAAGTTCTTATTATTTTTATGTGGATCTGGATAGTTATCTTATTTTGAATAAAAGTCTTGTAGCAGTGCATACAACTAATACTTACAAAAACCATATATGTACTGCATCTATCTCTGGAATTCAAAGAACTCTTTTTCTTATATATTCTGAGTTACACTTTCTGAAACTGAAAAATAAATGATCTAGCCTAAATTAGGAGCAGTGAGCAGGAAGTTTGAATCTTATAAGTTACAGAGACGATTGCATTTTATTATTATGATTTATTAGTTACTACATCATGTACAGAGTTTAGTCCCCCTTCAGTAAATTTTTGAGGATGTCCATAGTTAATATTCAGTATAATCCCTTGGATTTCTGGTTTTGGCATAGCCATTCTGTCTGCTTTTTTAAAAAGAACTTTGAAGAAATCTTGGGTTAGGGTTCCCCTAGTTTTCAGACCAGCAAGCTCCCTTTAAACAGGGAATGATGTCTTTTAAACTTTCAGTGGTGTTGTCTCCATCTACTGGCAAAGAAGAAATATACACAAGGGTCTGAGATGATCTAAGAGATTTTGGAGAAACCACATTATTAGGTAAGATGTAACTTACATATTTAACCACTGCAATATAATGTGGCCCACTTAAAGGTAGAAACCTGTAAAATACTGTATATACTCTTAAAAAATAATTTATTGAGGTGAAATTCACAACATAAAATAAACCATTTTTAAGTGAACCATTCCATGGCATTTATCTATATATTCTCGAATCTGTCAGTTCCATAGCATTTACATAGCATAGTGTATACTCTTAAAAATAAACTGGTAATATTAAGGTAGGATCAGATTCTTCATCTGAATCAACACCAAGTGTCCTCTTGGGACTTATTTTAGTTTCTTTTTGTGGTAAGTTTGTTATGGTTGACCTATATTTCTACTTGCTATTTTTGTTTCTTTCAAACAATTTAAAGTGTAAATTGTTTTACGTATGTTTTAATAATCATCTATATTAGGGGTTGGCAAACATTTTCCTGAAAAGGGCCAGTTTTTATTATTTTAGGTTCTGCAGTCTCTGTTCCAAATACTTTTTCTGCCATTGTAGCATGAAAGTAGTCATAGACAGTAAGTACATAATCAAATAAGCGTGGCTGTGTCCCAGTAAAACTTTATTTACAAAAATAAGTGACAGTTTGTATTTGACCCACAAGCCATAGTTTGCTGACCTTTGGTGTAATAATTATGAGAGTATATACAGTAAATTTACATACTCAAATTCTAAGTGGAAGTAAGTAATAAAATGTTCATCAAAACTCTTATTAATATATAGAGAAATTTAAAACTGGATCCACTATAACCTGGTTGTGGGCTTTCTTAGTTTTTTCAGATGAAAGTTTAAGGGAAATTTAAGATGACCACTACTCACATTTAAAGATTGCCTGACTAATGGTATATACTCTCCTTTTGATTGATAAGTAGGACTCACTCAATGCAGGTGTCAGAATTTTTGAGCAGGTCGATTATTCAAGCCTCAATTTAGTACATTGAGTGTATTTGAAGTCCATTTCTCTGGGGGATAAAAAACTCTAAAAGACACAATCAAATTAAATTTAATACATGTTACTACTGACACTATATGGATAGACAGATTGTAGTTTGTGTAGTTGGAGAGAAAAAGTCATTCGAAATAACTGAGTTTTTAAAGTGAGGGTATGGCACTCACAAGGGCAAAAGTAATGGATTTTTGTTTGAATGGGTCTTTTTTTTTCCCTTTAAATTGGTTGTTTTTCCATATTATTTTATAGTTAGTTACTGGGAAAACGTATTTATTCATAGAATGGTGCAAATGCATTTGATATCTGAAAAAACAAGTGCATGATCAGTTCCAATGCACATATTTAATCTTTATATTTAGCTTATATTGACACATTGTCAGGAAATCCATCTCGTGGTGTTACTCAGTTAAGAGGTCTCCACTGTATTTAGTTTCTGTTCCTGCAGATCCACCAATTCAAGACTCTAGGTCATCTCACTCCCTCTTCCATCCAGAAGATGACTTCTATCCACAAGCAGGACTGAATCAAAAGACAGATTTTTCACTTAGCTCTTGAGCTGAACCACCTCCTCAATGACCTTCCTCTATCTCCATCAAGAACTGGAGCTCAGTTTTTTGAAGATGTAATAGAGCTACTCAGCCCAAACGTGGCTAATTGAAGACAAAAAGAAGATGCCTCATATGTTTCACCACAGTACAGCCAAACGTAACTGTGCTGTCCAACTCCTCATTCTGTAAAGTATGGCAGGGGCATCTGATTTTTGACTCTGTTCACCAATAAGACTTTAGCCAGTCAGTGGCTTTCTGAAGATCAGTAAAATCATCAAACTTTGGGTCAGCTGTCCAGAAATCAGATTGTGGTAAGCACTCAAGGAGAGATAGGTTCCATAGGGAGCTACTTGCTAAAGGGTGCTTTGTTTTTATTAGCGGAGGTTGCTTTTATGGGAAAAGTTGGGGGGAGAGGTGGGTGGGAAATCATGTTAGCAAAGCTCCACCTCTTCCCCATTACTGTAGTTCGTTTGTTTTCTGGGAACCTTATAGCCTAGGATAATTTTCACAAGGATCTCATATATTTTGTACTACAGAACAAGAGGAATAGAGGGTCAGTGGCTTCTTTCTCCTCTCTATAGTCTTTCTTAGAAAAGTCACCATTATTTTTGCTTCATGAAGAAAAAGCAATCATGTAAATGAAGAGCTTTGTAGTAAATATCTAATCAAATTTTTCCTTCTCTCAGGCTCTGACTTAAATTGATACTAACCAAGAGGCATTTTGTTTTGACCTTCATAAAGCATAATTGTTGTTGTACAAAAGTAGTATGTATAATTGTGCCTTAAATAAAACATTTGGGGTCGTGGACACTTAGTTTTGAGGATTAATGTAATATTTTAGCTGGTAGGGAACAATATTTTGATAATTGTAGGTTAATATTAAAAAGTAATTTTAAAGGAACTTTCCTATCCTTATTAGTAAGTATAGTTAGTCATTGGTACTAATTTTTTCATTGTAATTATTCATTATTGATTTTTAAGGTTAAAAAAAGGAAGAGCTGAAACCTATAGTTATATGCTTCTCAAAGATGATAAAATGTATTTCATGAGGAATTCTTTGTATTCTTTTAAATGTATCTTAAAATTAGAGGCAGTTCGGGTGCCTGGGTGGCTCAGTTGGTTAAGCGACTGCCTTCGGCTCAGGTCATGATCCTGGAGTCCCGGGATCGAGTCCCGCATCTGGCTCCCTGCTCGGCGGGGAGCCTGCTTCTCCCTCTGACCCTCCCCCCTCTCATGTGCTCTCTGTCTCTCTCACTCTCTCTGTCTCAAATAAATAAATAAAATCTTTAAAAAAAAA